CTTCTGAGTAGCTAGGATTATAGGTGTGAGGCACCAACACCTGGCTGCCCTTTATTTATTTATTTATTTGTTTATTTTGGCAGAACTCGGGTTTGAACTCAGGGCCTCAAGCTTGCTAAGCAGACAGTCTACTACTTACGCCTTAAAATGCTCTTTAAAAAAAAACCCAAAAACTGAGCACTAAGAGAAAAAAAAAGTTCCAAAAAAAAAAAAAAAATCCCAGGAGGATTAAAACAGACATTTCCTGGGGGGAGTCCAAAGGTCACTGTTCCCATCCCAAGTCTTAAACACCAATAAAAACACACACACACACACACACTCTCTCTTTCTCTCTCTCTCTCACAAAAACTGTCCTATCATCTATAGAATAGTCTGGAGGTCAAAGACCGTTCCTTTTTTTTTTTTTTTTTTTTAATTGTTGTGCTGGGGGTACACTGAGGCATTTACAAAAGTTCTTACAATATATCAAATATATCATACTTGAATTCACCCTCCAACATTATCCTTTACCCTCCTCTCTCCAAGACCAGCTCTTTATAATCTGACAATCACTTGTACTTCCACTTACTGTCTCATAATTGCAGCCAAACCAGATTTCTCAGGTACCTTAAACATAGTCTACACTTTCATGACATTATGTTAAAGGCCTTTTCCTGACTTCTTTGCCTAAAAAAATTCCTAGTTATCCTTCAAAATCTAGTTCAAGGAACACATCCTCTGTGCCACCTCTGATGCCGCTACGCAAAAATGTGTTATCATAGCATTCTGTACATGTTTCTATTGCATGAATTGTCACGTTACATCTCATTTGATGCTTACCTCTTCTTTCAATTCCTAGAATTAAACAGAACCTAGTTCACAGGAGTTGGTAAATTAGTACCTAATGAATTAAAATTAATTTTAAAAAACTCCAATACTTCAATCCCCAGCACTAGAAAAAACAAAATAAAAGAACCATAACTTCTACAATACAAAATGACTAGTTAGCCATGAAGCACTTATCATCAAGATTTCTTTCTTTACTCTCTCCCTCTTTTTGTGTATGTATATATGAATGTGTGTGACTATGTTACTAAGGATTAAACCCAGGGTCTTGTGCATGCAAGCATTCTACCACCTAAGATTTCTTTTAACAAATGACATAAAATTTAAGTAGGTAACAGGAATAAAATTCATCTGCAGGCAAACCAGAGGTTTCAAAGATTCCTAAAGATTGACTTTAGTCTCTGAAAAATCTTTTCAAGAAGAAAAGACTGATATTTTGGAGTAAATATGAGTAGTTTGTTACAGTAAAGGTTAACACAAGGGGCTAGGGATGTAGCTCAGTGGCTGAGTGTTTGCCCACCATGCATGAGGCCATGGATTCTATCTCCAGTACCAGGAAAAAAAAAAAAAAGGTAACATAAGATATGGAGAAAATTTTAAATGAGACTAGGGTTGACAAAATCTAAGCCAACAGAAAACTGATATTTTGGAGTACAATAGAGTAGTTTGTTACAGTAGAGGTTAACACAAGGGGCTAGGGATGTAGCTCAGTGGCTGAGTTGTTTGCCCACCATGCATGAGGCATGGATTTCTATTCCAGTACCAGGAAAAAAAAAAAAAAGGTAACATAAGATATGGAGAAAATTTTAAATGAGACTAGGGTTGACAAAATCTAAGCCAACAGAGCCAAAGGACTAGTTAACTACAAGGATACCATTTACGTTACTACTGGAGCCATGCACAGAAACCTAAGGCCTTCAAAAATTACTGTCCTCTATAGCCAGGTACCAGTGGCTCATGCTTGTAATCCTAGTTACTCAGGAGGCAGAGATCTGGAGGATAGCATTTTGAAGCCAGCCCAGGCAAACAGTTCATAAGACCCTATCTCAAAAAACCCTATCACAAAAAACTGGCTGGTGGAGTGGCTCAAGGTGAAGGCTCTGAGTTCAAGCCCCAGTACCACAAAAAAAAAAAAAAATTGCTGTCCTCTTAATTCAAGTCACTCCTCAAGAATACCCACTGAAAAATCCTAGTAGATGGTCAGCTACCAAAAAAGTCCATCAACAAATATGTGAAGAGTCTGGCTTGGAAAGTGGGGAAAAGCAAGAACAGTCAGAGACAGAAGAAGGGCCCCCAAGGAGCAGTGATGCCCGATGTGAGCATCAGTTCCCCTCAGAGGAAGCCGCTGGCCGCTTATCAAACCCACCCGCAGAAGAGAAACCCCCAGAGAGTGCTATTCACTCTGTGGCTCTGCTAGGCACCCCAGCACACTGACTGCTACCCTGGGGACACATAACTACTTCCCTAACCCTGGGATGAGGACACCCTAGAGCCCCCGGACTTAGCAGTCAGCCAGGTCCAGTGAAATTCAGCTTGCTGCCTAGGGCACCAGAGGGGAACCTAGTATTGAATCAGATGGGGCTGACGATGCTTAGCTGACTCCCCTGGAGAGCCAGACCATCACCTACAAACCCCATCCCTCACCCCAGGAAATGAAGTAAAGTTAACTCCAGCAGGTTATGCAGCAACGTATCTGGGGAGCAGCTTCTGGCCAAGAAAGCAAAGGCCTTTCCAGCCTGGGCAGCCCTAGTCCAACCCACACCAGCCCTGCAGCCCATCTACATCCAGCAGCTAGTCACAGATTCTGCCACCTCCATCACAAGTGTTCAGCATGCCAACCTACAGTATCACCCTAACCTCATCCCCAGCCACTTGCATGATCTGACCCCTATTTCCTTGTCCCCCCCCGCCTCACTCATTCAATCATCCTTAGCCACCATGCCACATTTCTCAATAGGAATCCCATCCACTTAATTTCTACTTCAGCCATCCATTCTGGGCCTTCTGCCTTGTCTCACTTGCTGCCCTTTTACCCTATACTACTTGCCCCATGGCCTGCTGCAGCAGCTACCACTGCCCTCCACCTTCACCCCATCTTCTCAGGTCAAGACTTGCAGCACCTCCCTAGCCAAGGCACACGAGTTGGGGGATGGTAGCCTAAGTAGGGCCAGAGAAGGTGACCCTTAATTCTTCCCTTGGAGGTGATGAGCCATTAATACCAGCAACTAATAGCTAGGATGGGCAATGTCTGACAGCCAAATAATCAAGTTTTTACTTACAGAAATGGGTTGATCTGAGGTTTGATTTGTGTTTACTATCAGGAATTTTCCCCCTCCTTTTATTCCTCTGTTTGTCCCTCTACCTTCTGGGTTTAAATTAGGGAATACCAGTAAATGCTCCCCACATCTCTGTAGCAACATCTCCAAACTGTCAAGTTTAGATATTCCTCTCCTCCCTCTACTCTTTAGCCTCAGCTCTTCTATGAAGAGCCTCCTGAGTAGCTAGGATTACAAGCACAAGCCACAGCACCAGGTAACTTACAGGATTTTTAAATGTAAAAACACCACTCTATAAGTGTAAATGTTACTTTTTATAGCTGATATTAAAAAGGTTTCATATTTGTTCTGGTGGTTTTATGTAAATATGTTTTCCCTAGTTGAATCAAGAAATTTTATAGAGGGCTGGCAGAGTGGCTCAAGCAGTAAGAGCACCTGCCTACCAAGTGTGAGGTCCTGTGTTCAAACCCTAGAGCTGTTAAAAAAAACACAAAAAATTTTATAGGTTATAAAATGAAGAAAAAACCCAAGTATTTATTTTCTGCTAGATGCAAATAAACAAAAGTTGAATTTATATTTTATTATTTATTCTAGATGAGTTAATATTTATTTCCAACTGGATAAAACCAAATACAATTACATCCATGCACACAGTTAACTTCTTTCCCAATATGTAATTTATAACAACATGTAGGACAGCCAAGGTTTTAGAATTTAATTAGTACAAAAGAATGCACAGCAATCCCTCAAATGGTTATTAGGTAAACTGCATTTGGGTTGGTAGTATTGCTCAGTGGTAGAGCACCTGCCTAGTACGTGCCATGGGTTCCATCCCTGGGGGTGGGGGGGAGGTGCTGTTATGAATTAATTGCATTTGCCTCTACTTACTCTAGTTTAAAAATTACTCTTACCTGCCAGGCACTGGTGGCTCATGCCTGTAAGCTAGTCTGGAGGAAGATATCAGGAGGACTGAGGTTCAAAGCCAGCCTGGGCAAATAGTTTGAGAAACCCGATTTTGAAAATACCCAACACAAAAAAGGGTTGGTTGGTAGAGTGGCTCAAATGGTAAGAGCGCCTGCCTAGCAAGCATGAGGTATTGAGTTCAAACCCCAGTACTGCCAAAAAAAAAAAAAATTACTCTTACCCATAAAGGAAATGTCACTTCACTTTGCTTTATTCAAAAAACAAAAAAGTTATCTGAACTATTAGCTTATTTTATCTCTATAATCACACACTTACAATTTACCTAATATGCTACAGTTGCTGGTAAGAGCTCCCAAACTCAGCTTAATCTCAACTTTCTTTCTTTCAAACTCTCATCTACATACAAACTTTTCATGGTCTTGAGAGTCTCAAAAGGATTTACTGCTTGAAACCTTTTCATGAGTATAAATCACTGGTTTTTACTTAATACATTGTTAAGAACTCGTGTAAATGCCACAATGTACACCCACCCAGCACAACAATAAAGGGGAAAAATGAAAAATGAAATACATTTTTAAAACTCACTGTTTTTTCAGAGGTAAACAATCCAGCAGGTAGCTCATGCCTACAATCCTAGCTACTCACGAGGCAGAGATCAGGAGGATCTCAGATCTGAAGCCAGCCCTGGCAATAGTTCTTGAGATCCTACCTCAAAAAAAACTCATTACAATGTAGGCCCTGAGTTCAAGCCCTAGTACCGAAAAAAGCAAAACAAAACAACAAAAAAAGCCAATCTACCAGACCTAAGGATGGTCCAAAGTCCTCCAAGACAACCTTTTATATTAAAAACACCTTTACATCAAATGTCAACTTTTCACTCCTATTAACATAAAATTCAAACCAATTCAACTACTTTTAGCATTACCCATCCAGGCAGTCACAGACCTTAATTCATATTTGTGTAGTATCCATTACCTAGGTTGAGAATTTTCCTCATACATTCTTTCTTTCCCCTCCTTGAAAAGGCTTATGGTCTGCTTAGTTTTCTTCATCAAATTCTCCATGAATACCCTAAAATATTCATTTTCTCCAAGTGTCTCCATCTTCCCCTCATATCTTGACAAGACAGTACGGAGATGCTGGTAGGTATCTGGCAGCAGGTCTAAGATATAAGGTGGACTATTCTTTAGTGCCAGTTTTGGGTTCTGACACAACCGCACCACCTGAAACAAATGAAAAAGAAAGGCTATTACTTGAAGGATTTTAAGGCCAATTTCCCTTTTTAAGTTAAAAGAAATTATAAAATATGCTCTTTTGCAGAAATAAAAAAAAAAAAAAACATGAGACTATAAAAAATGATCCACAACGGGCCAGTGGTTCATGACGGTAATCCTAGCTACTTGGGAGAGTGAGATGGGGAGGGATCATGGTTCAAGACCCATTCAGGAATATAAGCTCATAAGACTCCATCTCCAAAATAACCACAGCAAAATGGACTGGAGGTGTGGGTCAAGTGGTAGAACACCTGCTTTCCAAGAGCAAAGCACTGAGTTCAAACCCCAATCTCACACAAAAAAAAAAAAATCCATAACCCACTGCCCATAGGCAATCATTGTACATTTCTAGTAGTCCCTCTACAATGGGGGGTTCGGTTTTATTTTTATTGATTGATTGATTTTTTTAGTAAAAAGGATAGCAAAGTTTATTAGGAAAGGCATACACTTTCAATAGACCAAAAGTGGGTGGTTCTACAGTGAGAACAGGAAAAATGTAAGCAGGTTATTACAACTACGAACAAGGGCTGGGGTTGTAGCTCAGTGGTAGAGCACATGTCTACTATACAGAAGGCCCTGGGTTCAATCCCCAATACCCAAGGGTGGAGGGAAATCTATGAAACACTAACAGTGTAGATGATACATAGCAGTACAAACTTGGGAAAAAAAAATCCCCCAAAATGCCTAAAACGTGATAAGGAAATAAACTATAGCAAATTACTTTTAAATACATGGGTATCCCCATAATAAAGAAAATTCTCAGGGGCAGACATATTAGACATGGCAGCACAGAGACATAAATCTGTATTCTAGAGACCTGAGTTTTAAAAATACATAGGGGATAGAAACAGGGAGGCCCTGAACCCAGCAAAGCACAGAGTTGAACAGAAATGCAGAAACCCCACTTGCAGAACTCTCAGAATATGCTCGGTAGTTTGTTTTGCAGTACTGGGGTTTAGTGTCAGGGCGTCATGCTTGCTAGAGTGCTCTCATTTGCTAGGCAGGCGCATGGCTTGAGCAACTCCACCAGCCCTTTTTTGTGTTACATATTTTCAGGATAAGGTCTCGCTTTTTTTTTTTTTTGCTCAGGTTAAACCTTGATCTTGTTTCCACCTCTTGAGTAGACTGCATTGATGTTTATAAAATGAATGAAAAATAAAAGATTAGTTTTTGTCAAGCTAATTTGTTTATGTTTGTGGTTTTGTGTATGTGGCTTATTTTTTGGCAGTATTAGGGTTTGAACTCAGGGCTTTGTGCTTGCTAACTAGGCCCTCTACCACCTGAGCCATACCATCTCTTTTTTGATTTACTTTTTTGGGTACGGTACTGATTTTGTTTTTGTTTTTTTTGGCTCGAGTTGGTCTCAAGCCAAAATTCTCCTCATCAACACTTTGTGAGTAGCTGGGATTACAGGTGAGTCACCATAAGCAGCAGCTTTTTATGTTTAAAAACAATTCATAGCTAGGTGCTAGTGGCTCACGCCTGTAATCCTAGCTACTTGAGAGACTGGGATTGCAGTTGGAGGTCAGCCTGGGCAAAAAAAAGTTTGTGAGATTTTATCTTAACCAATAACTGTCATCCCAAACTATGGGGGAGGCTAGGATCAAGAGGGTTCCTTTTCCAAGCCAGCCTGGGTAGAAAACTTTCTAAGACCCTATCTCAGTGGAAGAAGGCTGGGTGTGAGTGTGTGCTTGTCATACAGCTATGGCAGGAAGCTTAAAAAAAAAAAATCAGAAGATCTCAGTCTTGCCTGGACAAAAAGCAAGACTCTAGCTCTAAAATAACCAGAGCAAAACAGGTTGGAGATGTGGCTCAAGAAGTGGCCTGCCTAGAAAATGCAAGGTCCTGAGTTCAAATCCCAGTAAGTCCTCCTTCCCCCCACCGCCCCGCAAAAATAAATAAATAAGTAAAACTGGGCATGCACCTGTAATCCTAGATACTAGGGAGGCAAAGGTAGGAAGATCCAGGTTCCCAGGCCAGTCCAGGAAAAACTTAAGACCCTATCCAAAAAAACACTAAAAGCAAAAGGATTGGAGGTGTAGTTTCAAGTGGTAGAGCACTTGGCAGGAGGCCATGATAATAAATGCAATCAATAGTATTTTATGCACTTGAACACCCTTTGTTCTTTTTTTTTTTTTTGTGGGACTGGGGTTTGAATTCAAGGCTATCCACTCACAAAGCAATTCTGTACACGTGAGCCACAGCTCAAGTCCATTTTGCTCTGGTTATTTTAGAGATGGAGGTCTCATGTACTATTTGCCTGGGCTGGCTTCAAACCTGGATCCTCATGATCTCAGTCTCCCAAGTAAGTGGGATTACAGCTATGAGTAACCAGAATCCAGCTTTTATTCCCCTTCTTGATAAACTGAATCCTTCATCAACGAAATACTTCTCTTTATCTCCAGTTAACACTTCCCTTAAAAAGTCCATTTGATCTTATATAGCTACAAAAACTGTCTCAGGTTGGTGTTTTCATGATAGTATCTTTTTTTCATTTTCTACTTTCAACTTTTCTGTATTCTTAACAACTTTCCTGTATTCTTATATTTAATGTGGGAGACATTAAACATAGAATATAGTTATGTACCTTTTAAATCATTTTGACAATCTTTGGTTCTAATTTCATCTGTTTACACTTAATGTATTATGAAATTACTGTATTTTGTAGGTTAAATATTGACAGTTTCACGGTTCACTTAGTAAGCACTGACCCTCAGGATAAATAATAAAATAACTTACTATTTGTTTTCCTTGTGTCTTACCTGTTCCATGTTTCTGTAGCCCCCCTTTCTTGCCCTCTTTTGGCTTCAACATTTTTTATTTTCCCCCTCCATTAGCTTGTCCATAATACATACTTTTACTATTCTTTTAGTGGCTACCTTAATAGTAACACGTATCTCTGAATCTTACATCAATTAGTACTTTTTCCACTTCCCAAACAATGCGAGGACCGTGGAACACTAACTCCATTTATTTTCTTTTCAAATTAAAGTGTCACTGCTACCATATACTTTCTTTTTAAGATCTACAAGTCATTGTCATTACTGTTATTATTTACACAAAAATTGCTCATATTTACTGGTGTAATTGCCCTTCCCAGCACTCATGCATCACTCATTCTCCTTGAGGCTAAAGAACAATCTTTCTTTAAGGACAGTCTGCTGGTTGCACAGCATTATCTCAGTCTTTATTTTGTATCAACTTTCAGGAGATATTTTCACTGGTAATTATTTTCTATGTTTTCCAGATGTTATGGTATTGGGATCTGAACTCAGGGCCTTGTGCTTGCTAGGCAGGTGCTCACCACTTGAGCCATTCTGCCAGTCCTTATACTGTCAGTATTACTGTTGCTTCTTTGAAACTAAAATATCATATTCTCTTGTTGCTTTTTTTTTTTTTTTTTGGCAGTACTGGGGTTTGAACTTAGGGTCTCCTACACCTTGAGCCACTCTATCAGTCCTTTTTTGTGATGGGTTTTTTTCAAGATAAAAATCTCTTGAACTATTTGCAGAACCACGATCCTCCTGACCTCTGCCTCCTGAATAGCTATGATTACAAGGGTGAGCCAGCACCTGGCATCTCCTGTTGCTTTTAAGATTTCTCTTAAACAATAAAAAAAAAAAAAAAAAAAAAAAAAAGGAAAAAGATTTCTCTTAGCTGGCCAGGTGCAGTAGCTTATGCCTGCAATCCTAGCTATTTGGGAGCCAGAGGGACAATCAAGGTTCTAGGCCAGTCTTGGCAAACAGTTCAAGAGACCCCCATCTCCAAAATAACCAAAGCAAAATGGACTAGAGGTGAGGCTCAAGCAGCAGAGTGCCTGCTCTGTAAGCATGAAGCCCTGAGTTCAAACTCTGGTCCCACCAAAAAATAAATTAAAAAAAATATATATATATATTTAGTTTTATATATATATAATTTAGTTTGGCACCATCGCACAAGTCTGTAAGTGTGGCACTGTGCAAGCTGAAGGAAGAGTATCTGCAGTTCCTGGCCACCTAGCTGAAAAGTAAGTTTGAGGCTAGGCTGGGCTACATAATGAGACCTGGTCTCAACAACAGAAAGATTTCTCTTTGACCTAAGTTTTCAATAGTGATGTGCCTAGATGTGGTTTTCTTTGAATTTTTCCTGCTTCTTTAATTTGTACTTTGATGATGTTCATCAGTTTTGAAAAATTATTATTTCTGCCCCATTCTCTTTCTTCTCTTCTGGAAACTTAACTACATATACTTAAGACTTTTTAACCATTTTCTATGTCTCTTATACTCTATAAATATTTTCCATCCTTTTGTCTCTAAAAGTCTCAGTATGGATTTTTTTTCCTGACTTATCTTCTACTTCACTAATTCTCTTTAGCTGAATTTCAGTTCTAGAATGTCTACTTTATTCTTTTTCACCATTTCAAGTCTGTCAAAATCATCAATGTGAGTTTTCAATTCTAACACATTAATCAGATATATTTTAAGTACACGACTGCTAAATAAGTACTTGTATTCTGTGTGTTTCTCTTGTAATTTTTCCTCATGGTTTTCAGCTGTGTTTTATCATATGCCTACAGTTATTTTTTATTGGACATTGCACATAAAAATTATAGCTAACCTGAAGACTATGGATGTTATTATTAAGAATGGATTTATTTTTGCTTCTAACAGCCAGCTAGATTAGGAATTCCAAATCATTTTAATCTAATCCAATATTAGAGATTAAAGACTGGGCTTCCTTCCCTTTATCAACTAATCTACTTCTGTTTCTTCCTTCCTCTAGATTTCAGACCCTCTAGAAGTCAATTCAAAATCCTACCATGTTTTCCAGGACCATCCATCTTTTTTGTCTCCCCTCCCCCAACACACACACACCTTTAGCCTTGAGATTGCTAGGCAAAGCGTCAACCACTTGGTGCCACACCCCCCAGTCCTGTTTTATCCTTGGCATGAGTATTCTGAAAAGTCTAC